CCTGCACACTTCATTTTTGGATATGTTAAATAGAATATTCCAATCAATATTTCCACCGAGTTTGGTAGTGTAACAAAAATTTCCATAGAAGTTAGATTTTTTTTTCGAATTTGAGGGTTGAATTTACCCCCTTCATTCCCGCCCTGCACACTTCATTTTTGGATATGTTAAATAGAATATTCCAATCAATATTTCCACCGAGTTTGGTAGTGTAACAAAAATTTCCATAGAAGTTAGATTTTTTTTTCGAATTTGAGGGTTGAATTTACCCCCCTTCATTCCCGCCCTGCACACTTCATTTTTGGATATGTTAAATAGAATATTCCAACCAATATTTCCACCGAGTTTGGTGGTGTAACAAAAATTTCCATAGAAGTTAGATTTTTTTTTTTCGAATTTGAGGGTTGAATTTACCCCCTTCATCCCCGCTCTGGACACTTCATATTTGGCTATGTTAAATAGAATATTCCATTAAATATTTCCACCGAGTTTGGTGGTGTAACAAAAATTTCCATAGAAGTTAGATTTTTTTTTCGAATTTGAGGGTTGAATTTGCCCCCTTCATTCCCGCCCTGCACACTTCATTTTTGGATATGTTAAATAGAATATTCCAATCAATATTTCCACCGAGTTTGGTAGTGTAACAAAAATTTCCATAGAAGTTAGATTTTTTTTTCGAATTTGAGGGGTTGAATTTACCCCCTTCAACCCCGCCCTGGACACTTTATCTTTGGATATGTTAAAAAGAATATTCCAATCAATATTTCCACCGAGTTTGGTGGTTTAACAAAAATTTCCATAGAAGTTAGATTTTTTTTTCGAAGTTGAGGGTTGAATTTACCCCCTTCATTCCCGCCCTGCACACTTCATTTTTGGATATGTTAAATAGAATATTCCATTAAATATTTCCACCGAGTTTGGTGGTGTAACAAAAATTTCCATAGAAGTTAGATTTTTTTTTCGAATTTGAGGGTTGAATTTACCCCCTTCATCCCCGCCCTGCACACTTCATTTTTGGATATGTTAAATAGAATATTCCATTAAATATTTCCACCGAGTTTGGTGGTGTAACAAAAATTTCCATAGAATAAGATTTTTTTTTCGAATTTGAGGGTTGAATTTACCCCCTTCATTCCCGCCCTGCACACTTCATTTTTGGATATGTTAAATAGAATATTCCAATCAATATTTCCACCGAGTTTGGTAGTGTAACAAAAATTTCCATAGAAGTTAGATTTTTTTTTCGAATTTGAGGGTTGAATTTACCCCCTTCATTCCCGCCCTGCACACTTCATTTTTGGATATGTTAAATAGAATATTCCAACCAATATTTCCACCGAGTTTGGTGGTGTAACAAAAATTTCCATAGAAGTTAGATTTTTTTTTTTCGAATTTGAGGGTTGAATTTACCCCCTTCATCCCCGCTCTGGACACTTCATATTTGGCTATGTTAAATAGAATATTCCATTAAATATTTCCACCGAGTTTGGTGGTGTAACAAAAATTTCCATAGAAGTTAGATTTTTTTTTCGAATTTGAGGGTTGAATTTACCCCCTTCATCCCCGCCCTGCACACTTCATTTTTGGATATGTTAAATAGAATATTCCATTAAATATTTCCACCGAGTTTGGTGGTGTAACAAAAATTTCCATAGAAGTTAGATTTTTTTTTCGAATTTGAGGGTTGAATTTACCCCCTTCATTCCCGCCCTGCACACTTCATTTTTGGATATGTTAAATAGAATATTCCAATCAATATTTCCACCGAGTTTGGTAGTGTAACAAAAATTTCCATAGAAGTTAGATTTTTTTTTCGAATTTGAGGGTTGAATTTACCCCCTTCATTCCCGCCCTGCACACTTCATTTTTGGATATGTTAAATAGAATATTCCAACCAATATTTCCACCGAGTTTGGTGGTGTAACAAAAATTTCCATAGAAGTTAGATTTTTTTTTTTCGAATTTGAGGGTTGAATTTACCCCCTTCATCCCCGCTCTGGACACTTCATATTTGGCTATGTTAAATAGAATATTCCATTAAATATTTCCACCGAGTTTGGTGGTGTAACAAAAATTTCCATAGAAGTTAGATTTTTTTTTCGAATTTGAGGGTTGAATTTACCCCCTTCATCCCCGCCCTGCACACTTCATTTTTGGATATGTTAAATAGAATATTCCATTAAATATTTCCACCGAGTTTGGTGGTGTAACAAAAATTTCCATAGAAGTTAGATTTTTTTTTCGAATTTGAGGGTTGAATTTACCCCCTTCATTCCCGCCCTGCACACTTCATTTTTGGATATGTTAAATAGAATATTCTAATCAATATTTCTACCGAGTTTGGTGGTGTAACAAAAATTTCCATAGAAGTTAGATTTTTTTTTCGAATTTGAGGGGTTGAATTTACCCCCTTCAACCCCGCCCTGGACACTTTATCTTTGGATATGTTAAAAAGAATATTCCAATCAATATTTCCACCGAGTTTGGTGGTTTAACAAAAATTTCCATAGAAGTTAGATTTTTTTTTCGAAGTTGAGGGTTGAATTTACCCCCTTCATTCCCGCCCTGCACACTTCATTTTTGGATATGTTAAATAGAATATTCCAATCAATATTTCCACCGAGTTTGGTAGTGTAACAAAAATTTCCATAGAAGTTAGATTTTTTTTTCGAATTTGAGGGTTGAATTTACCCCCTTCATTCCCGCCCTGCACACTTCATTTTTGGATATGTTAAATAGAATATTCCAATCAATATTTCCACCGAGTTTGGTAGTGTAACAAAAATTTCCATAGAAGTTAGATTTTTTTTTCGAATTTGAGGGTTGAATTTACCCCCTTCATTCCCGCCCTGCACACTTCATTTTTGGATATGTTAAATAGAATATTCCAATCAATATTTCCACCGAGTTTGGTAGTGTAACAAAAATTTCCATAGAAGTTAGATTTTTTTTTCGAATTTGAGGGGTTGAATTTACCCCCTTCAACCCCGCCCTGGACACTTTATCTTTGGATATGTTAAAAAGAATATTCCAATCAATATTTCCACCGAGTTTGGTGGTTTAACAAAAATTTCCATAGAAGTTAGATTTTTTTTTCGAAGTTGAGGGTTGAATTTACCCCCTTCATTCCCGCCCTGCACACTTCATTTTTGGATATGTTAAATAGAATATTCCAATCAATATTTCCACCGAGTTTGGTAGTGTAACAAAAATTTCCATAGAAGTTAGATTTTTTTTTTTCGAATTTGAGGGTTGAATTTACCCCCTTCATCCCCGCCATGGACACTTCCTCTTTGGATATGTTAAATAGAATATTCCAACCAATATTTCCACCGAGTTTGGTGGTGTAACAAAAATTTCCATAGAAGTTAGATTTTTTTTTCGAATTTGAGGGTTGAATTTACCCCCTTTATCTCCGCCTTGGACACTTTATCTGTGGATATGTTAAAAAGAATATTCCAATCAATATTCCCACCGAGTTTGGTGGTGTAACAAAAATTTCCATAGAAGTTAGATTTTTTTTTCAATTTTGAGGGTTGAATTTACCCCCTTCATCCCCGCCCTCGACTCGACATATCATTTTTTAATATGTTAATAAAAACATGTGAAGAAATTTTTCCACTGAGTCTTGCGCGGTACCTAACAAAGATGTTAACTGAAATTGGATTTTTTTTTTAATTTCAAGGGATGAATCCCTTATTTGTTCTCACATTGAGCCTGTTGTCCTAAAATATAATTTTTGAGAGGTATTTTTACTGGGCAATACATATTTTTTATTCATAAAAACAATATTCAGGCATCGGCAGCGCTAAATGATAATAGTATATTACATACCGAGTAGGGAAGTGTTTCATTACTGTCGAGAGATTGACTAATAATCTCGAGACAGAAAGGAAAACTTCCCTCCGAGGTTTGTATACTATTTTATTTGCAAGCACACCATTAATTATGATTAGTCAATCAATTTTTTTAATATTAAAAAATTAAAACAAACATGCCAAAATGTGTCATTCGCTGCTTTGACGTTTTTACCTGACATGTTTTTATTGTTGCCAGCAAAGGTAAATAAATTAGAGTGAGGAAAATCGGTGAGGGAAGTCGAATAGGGAAATCGGTGAGGGAAATCGAAGAGGGAAGTGACACAGATAAAGTGTCACTTCCAAATTTTTAAAAAGTCAATAATGACAAGATTACATATATGATTGCAAATAATAGTATATTATATACCTAGGTAGAGAAGTTGGTCAATATATAATGACTTTCTCTACCGAGGAATATATAGAATTTTTTTTACTACCTACTGCTAGTAAAAAATAAAAAATTTGTTTAAAATCTGTGTTGTAATTATTTTTTGTGAACGCCCTCTTGAAAGTGCTGCCCTCTATCAACAGCTTATATAACTTCCTATGTACCTACAGAAACCTGTATTTTTTTTCAAATTGACGTATGAAATTGAAATTGAACCAATAGAAACATGACAATATCCTTGCGTCATGACGTCATTTTCATTATTGACCTAGGTATTTTTTCATTATTTTCATTATTAACCTAGGGAGAGAAATTCAATTTTTTCTTAGAAAAATAGATTGAATAATGTCTATTTCTCAGGTTAGTAGTAAAAAAAATAATTTTTATATGCTGCACTACTTATCTGGACGACTGTAAAAACATGATTCTCGTTTCTGATTCCGTTGCTAACTTCAGCCACTCGAAAAGCCGACACCTCTGCTATTTATTTTGATAAAAAATTTTAAACAAATCTTAGAGTTGGTTTATTATCACTATTTGCAAATAGGGCCCACATAAATTTTATTTCTACCCAGGAATGAAGTAAGTCCCCGCTCGCTAACCCAACATCCTATTAGTTTCTGGGCGAAAAATATTTGACAATCAGTCTCCAAGTCTTAGGCCCATCATTGCTGGACCTTGATTTGTGATTGCGAAAGTATCCTTATCTTTAATAACTAGTTTACATAAATACAACATACTGGAAAACTTACCTCTGTTCCTGCAAAATAGTCATTGACTCCATAGCTAATGATAATTGGTATCTTGCCAGATATAGATCTTAAATTATAGAGCGGAGGTTTAAACTGACCATACACTTGCAAATTTCTGAATAATTCGTAGTCATAGAATTGAAACCTGTCTGAAACAATAATTTTATTTTAGTAATTGCATATTCTTAAAAATACTCTGAAATCCATGTTTTTCTTTGTGTTTTAACGAATAGGTATGTAATATTGAAATAACCTACCTGCCTGGTTTATTTGAAGTACATGTAAGTAGGTTTTGATGGAGCTTCCAGATGGATCGTTTGTCATATGAACAATAAATTTCTCCTGAAAGAGAAAAAATGTTAGTTTTTTTTTTAATTTCGTTAGTTCCTTTTATTATTCAAAAGTAATCTCACAAGTGTTGAAATAGTTATTTACCTAACAAATGCGGAAAGTGATACTTTACCGCACGCAACGGCAGTTGACCGAACGACGCGAAGCGGAGTTCGGTCAAGCCGTTAAGGGCGGTAAAGGCACTTTCCGCATGTGTTAGGTACAAAATTTTACCTATGAGCATCTACATCTCCAAAAAAAGGCATTAATAAAATTAATTAATGAATCAGATTAATTATTGAAATTAGATTAGATTTAGAAATGATCAAAAATCAATTTTCCGAAAAAGAAAGGAATTTTGATTATAAATATCAAATTCTACTTTACCGCACACTTTGTAGTCCACTTTACCACATACTATGCTGTAAAGCTAACTTTACCGCACACTATGCGGTAAAGTGCACTTTACCGCATAGTGTGCGGTAAAGTGCTACTTTCCATTTTCAAATACGTGCGGTAAAGTGCACTTTACCGCACGCTCGTAGGTAAAATATTTTAGGTACAAACCTTGTCTATTTGACTACGATCAGGTCCAAAGCCATCCTGCGAGGCCATACATTTTTCTAAGAATGGCGACTTTGTGTTACAAAAAATAATTGCCAACCACATTTTGAGTCGGCTCCATTCATTATCCCCTTTAATTTTTCCTTTCTGAATCCGCTCGTCCTGCAATAAATAATAATATATGATTTTTCGTGCCTAACGGCAATGAAAATTAAAATACATACCCTTACCTCTCTCCAGGTTTTCTCTTCAATTGATCGGGCATAGTTGTTATAAATTATGGGTCCCCAGACGTGGGCCGAATCTATTCTTTTTAGATATTCAGGCCGAATTGTAGCAAATGCGAGAAAAAGTACTCCTCCCATCGAGTGACCAATGTAGGATATTTTTTCATTACCTGTTACATTTCTAATATGGTCCATATAAGCGGGGATATCATAATAAGCGATTTCATGAAAACTAAAATAATATTAGATACTTGAATGGGTAGGTAGTCGGAATTCAATGATTTAGGATTAACTTGAGCATTCTTCTTTGAACAAAGAAAGCACCTCATTACGATACAAGTTTCAGCAATATTTTTTGCAAATCCAATAAATCATCCAAATTACCTAAAATCCCAGAATTTTGCATCTTTTGGAGTCAAAAACTCATGTTTTAAGCTGTAAACGCAACCCCTTGATGCCATAATCCAAACATCGAACCCTGCTTCCACTAGCATCATTGCGATGGAATTATTCACTTAAAATAAGACGTTGCATGTTTTCACAGAGCTGTGAAACGATTAGTAAAATTCTCTTACGTGGTACCATAAAAAGTTGAGGTTGGCTGGCATATCCGTGAACAAGCAAAATACAAGGTTTTTTCTTGTTGCTTGGAATTTCGCCTCTTGCACGTGGTAATCTTACCGCATTTATGTGATATCCGTCAGGACTGACAACGGTATGGTTTTCGTAAACCCAATTGTGACTTTCCAAAAATTCGTACTGAAAGTAAATAAGTTTGTGTTTGTTTTTGAAAGCAAAAAACATAGTACTCACTAATTGTTTACCAGTATCCGGATCCATGAAACTAGGAAACACAAAACCATGGCTGAATTTCAAAATGTGGAATAATGTTAACCACTCAAAAATAATGAACCGCATGGTAGTTTAAAAATGTAAAATATTTAGGTCTGAATTTAAATGAACAATTAAAAATGCATTTTTCACTTTGATGTTTTTTTCTTGTCTTATCTACCTACTCAGATTAAATTTAAATACAATTGCAAACGGACCCTAAGCTTTCTGAATAATACTAACATAATTTATCTACTCGAAACACATACATACATACATACCGTCGGTCTCATGACATAAGGCCCTATCTCGAAATAGGGCCAAAATGAGTTAAGTTCATAGATATGTTGTATTTAGTGTATACTTGTTTTTAGCCAAGGGTCTTATCTTGAAATCAGGTAATTTCGTTAAAAAAGTGAGAAAACACATGGCCCTATTTTGAAATATTAATAGTTTTATCACAGCATAAAGGTGAATATTGAGACACAAATGTTAACTACTATTTTGAAATGTGGTATTTGACAAAAAGCTTACACGAGTTGTTGTTAATAATTCCAAAAAAAGAGACCAAAAATCAGTATAGTTCTTTGTATTATATTGGCGTAAAGATATTAGTTTTCTTTTAATTGCTCTCCTGAAAACTTGTAAAAAACGAGATAGGGCCTTATGTCCTGAGACCGACGATACATACCTACATACATACATGTATAGATAGGAACATATTTCACCCTATTTACCTTGCCCCGAAATAACATCGGCGTAAAAATTTTGATCTCAAAGTTAAATTTAAAATTCACTTTGTTCCTGTCAGAATACATTGCACTTATTACATGCATCAAGAAAGGTTCAAAATTTTCGATATTATTTTCCTTGGAAATATTTTCTGGAAAATCTGGAAACCTACCTTGTGAGCAGTCTCTCCAACTGGGTGTAAGAGAAAGAGAGAGAACCGTTCAACGAATTTTAAAGGTCACCCATTTCCGTGCTTCTATTGCTTATCATACTCAGTTTCATCAAGAAGTATGACCGAAGATTTTGAAAAATGTGTCGAATTTTGCAATTTGGCAAAGTTAGGATGAGTTTTTACTTTTTTGACAAGGAAATGTTCTCTGATTGTACATTGTACAAGACGGATACGCCCTGTATCTGATACATAGTTGCATAGTTGTTGATGTACCTTATTTGAAGACAATGAGCTCTGAATCTGGGTTTATTAAGTATAGAAGTCGAAGGAGATAGTTTAAAGGCTAGTAATAGTAATTAGAGGACTGTAGTGAAACACAACGACTATTAGTTCAATCTAAATTCATTAACCACACACAGTACTATTTATTCATAATATTTTGCTTGCTGATGTTTATAATTAACTAGCTGACCCGGCGAACTTCGTACCGCCTCTGAATTATTAAATATACCTATTAAATGTTGTGTTAACGTATCTATTAGCTGAATTAAATTCAGTTTTTTTCGATGGTGAATTTGGCTTTGGTTGAAGAAAATTAAGGTTTACTCTCTGGATCAGAAGGCACTTAAAATTAAAATTTTACATCATCCTTTTTTAGGCAGTTTGTGGGCATTATTCTTGTAAAGTGTACCACCAAATAAATAAACTCAGGCACAGGAATGTTCAAAGAATGTAAAGAAAACAAAAAAAATCTCTAGCGCAGCCCTATTTCACTCTATCTGCACTGCATGCACTGCACTACTCCATCTATTCTACTCTATCTGCACTACTTTATCTGACCTACTCTTTCTGCACCACTCTATCTGATCGGAATAGTGGAATAGTTCTGTGCAGCATTGTTCTACTGTATCTGCAATGCCGAGCTTCGTTCCAGGTATCAGAGATGGCGCGGTATACAAAATACAAAATAAACTTGGTATCGGTTATAAGACATGGCGCCGTATGCGGGCTTAGTAAATTTTTTTCATAAATAAATAAAATAAGTAATGAAATGACCACATTAATGACATAACAACTGTCAACGCTGAAAAAAGTTTGAATTTGACAGCAAAATGATGCTACATTTATTGAATAATTAATTTATTACAAAAAATGTGATAAATGAAGAACCGCTCGACCGATTTTGTGCAAACTTCACATAAACCATCTAATAAGGACAGTGTGACCATTTAATTGTAATATTATTTACCAACCTACATTGAAAAAATCAACTTGTTATTAATCATTTTTTATGCAACGTAATTGCTACATGTTCGAGGGGGGGGGGGACATCGTAGACCAAACCCTTTATTTTGTCGGACAAAACTAACTGGTATTAATTAAATTTTCATAGTCACCAAATCGACATGTTTTACACTGCGCAGTATGTTAGCTACCTGTTTTCGCAATTTTCGTGAGAAAAAAGTTGGGCGTCTCAGTGAAATGAAGCTGCATTGAAAAAACTAGCTTGTTATCAATGATTTGGAAAAAAGGTCCTCGGCCCCCGGACTAATATCCCTACCTACAGAAAAAGCGTCATGCTTCACTTTACTTCGACAAGAAAACTCATTCGCAATCATGTTAAAAATACGCTGCTGCCCATTGCCTCTTATGTCAGAAGGTAAATGCCTGTACCGCAGTAACGCCTTGTCAATCGATTCGGTTTTACTTTACTTAACGTTTGGTTATATTCGGACCACAGCCTCAAATTAATCATTTTGGTTTGTTTTGAAGGAAGAAAATAACCAATTTATCAGAGTAGCCAGAGTAGGTAGGTAGGTACCTAGGGTAAAACGCCAGTAATTGACCATCAGCCAGTGTTTGACCGTTTTCGTGAAAAAATGTGAAAAATAAGAATTCTAGAAATATCTTAAGGAGTATGAAACTATTCATAAATAGCCTGAAGTTTTTTCACCATCCCCTACTATGCAAAACTTTCGTTTTGTCATACCAGATTGTGGTACTTGTTGTTTAGTTTACCTCCAACCACAGGCTGTGCACATCGTCTTAAGAAGTGTAATTTTTGAATTAGGAAGTTCACCTAATTAGGGTAATATTATTCATCTCTTTTTGCATTTTTTATATTTTTTTTGTTTGTCGGTGTTCTAATAAATGTTATCTATTGTTTATATCAAAAAAATACCGTTTTAATTTATTTTTTTGTCAAAATACAGCGGGTCAAAGACTGGTAGCTCTAAATTTGAATAAAAATTAGTGTTTGACCAATCGGTCAAATACTGGAGAAATTATGAGATTTATTACCTCACAACTATTGGAGATGGGTTTATAATAGAATACATTTTAATATCATTTTTTTTTTTCATTATATCTTCCTCTTTGAATGGTTTAGTATTCGACCGAAATTTTATGCTCTATAAATAACATACATGCAGTTTAAATGTTCAGTCAATAACTGCTTCTTTTTTGGTCATTTATTGGGCAAAAACAGGGCAAAAATTGAGTTTTTTAGCAGGCTTCAAGTTTTATAAATATTATAGCCTAATATAAAACATAATGCAAATGTTTGTATCTTTTCTGTTTTATTAAACATCCTTCATAACGACGAAAGTAATTGACCGCACTTAAGTAGGAATAATCTCTGTAAAATAAATATAATATATGTTTGGTCAAACACTGGCCCCTATAGGGGTCATTTACTAATAAATTGGAAATATATGTAGGAAACTTAGGGAATTTGAACCACGATTCCTTTTTTTTTCAGAACCATTATGTCAACAAAGCCTTAATTTAAATATAGTGAAAAAGATCTCCAAAAGGACCTCGATGCAAGAAGTAGCTAGGGGTTTATCTTATGAAAAAGCAGCCAAGATGTTCAATGTACCAAAGTCATCAAAGTCATGCATTTTTTAAGAATAAAAATGGTTTTTTCTACAACTGTCAAAAAATGATGATGTTCGCACACTCATGACAGTTTGCGAAGTGACACTTTTTTTCCCAGTTATTGATTTTTTAACGTTCCCATGACGCCGTGCGCGAAATAGCTAGTTCGCACACTGGGTGTCATGGTGACACATACCTGTCAGGAAATCAAAAATAATTAAAATTCACCTACCCTTGATTGAAAATGCAATTTTGGCTTCGAATTATCGATATTTAAATGGAGTTGTAGAAAAAATATTGTTTGCAACTCGGGCGCGAAATACTGTGGTGATCTCGACTATTTTTTTAACTCGGCTGCACCTCGTTAAAAAAATCAGATCTCGATCACCAAAGTAGCATTTCGCGCCCTTGATACAAAAATAACTATTAAAATATCATTTTCTATTATTATTCTTTTTGTCAACTTTTAAATCTTGAAAAGAACAAATAGAACATTTTTTGATAAACAAAATAATAGGGAAAAATAATAAATATACCAAAGTATTACTTCCAAAAAATGGTCAAACACTAAGAGTTTTAAGGTCAAAGACTAGATAATTTCGGTCAACTAATTCAATCAAAGTGGTCAAAGACTAAATATCCTAACACCGTTTTCTTTTTTCATTTTTTAAAATTCTACTTTATGACGGTATATTTAATACCTGGGGTTAGTAACTTTAACTGAATAACATGTATGTTTGATCACATTTTTGATTATTTTATTTGAATGTATATGTATCTACCAGAAAAAAAATATGGCTCGGTCAAACACTGATACTAAAAAATCCTTAAGCGGTCAAACACTGGTGCGTTTACCCTACTTGTTCAATTTTTGATACTTACAACTGGTGGCACATTGCGGTCCTGCGGGCCGAAAAGTATCAAATTGCGCTCGAAAATTGAATTGGGGCGCAAATAGGTAGGTGTAGGTACTTTGCCGCCTGCTCGTACATAAAACCAATTTTTGTTGTTTATGTTTTGACTTTTCACAAATGAGGGACAAATAAAAACCTTATCTTTATTTTTTTAATATTATAATTATAGGTACCTACACTAACACTACCCGCTTTTTTTTTCAAATAATGCTTAATTTCCATTCGACATTATTTGAATGTATGAGGTTACAAAATAAGATTCGTGAGTCTTGTGTTGTAAAGTCAATATCAATTATCGTTGATTGTCCTTTACTTAGTTTAAGCCTTCATTTTAAGTCATAATTATATTTAAACATAAAACATTGTAATACATTTTATGCAACTTATTA